AACTGATTCATTACCATCCCCTATACCCTATATTACCAAAATACAACCCTCATTAAACTGAACATACATCACCCTATACCATCATCATTCTACAAATACTACACCACCCTCAAAAGCATCCCAAAAACACCCCCACTACCATCATATTACAAAATACTACCACCCAAAACATAAAATGTATCATACCTACCCCTACACCCCATCATTACTACTACCACCACACTTAAATCGGTTCTTACCAAACCCCTTTAAATACACATCATTCTACAAATACTACCACCACCCATAACGGCTATCAAAACATCACCCACTCCATCATATACTATATATACCACCACCTCATTAAAAGCAATTTCCCTACCCTAACCATATCATTACAACCACCCAATATAAAATGACTTACCATCCCCCTAAAAAATCAATATACTACCACACCACCTCATTAAATGATATCATACCCAAAACCCTATACCATCATCATTCTTTCCCACCCCCAACACATTTAAATGTTATTTCATCACCCCCACTACCCTCTCATTTCTAAACGACTAACCCCCAAAAACATTAAATGCTATCATTACCATACCCCTAACTCAATTACTAAACCCCCCCATCATAAAATGATATATCCTCACCCTAACCCCTCTATTTTACATAAACACCACCTCATTAAACTGATTCCTTTCCACACCCTACTAAAACATCATTACTACCACCACCACCCATCAAAACTGATTCATTGATAAACCACCAAAAAAACCCCCCCATCATTTAAAAAGCTATATTTTCAATCACCCAAACCCTCTCAACACTACTCCCCCCAAATACTAAAAAATGATATTACCATCACCCCTAACCATACATTACTAAACACAACCACCCTCATTAAATGAACATTTCCCCCCCCAGCCAAAATTTATATTATACCACCCCCCTTCTCATATCAATACCCCCCCACACCATCATTAAAGTATCATTTCCCTCACCCCTAATACCATCATATTACTTTTCTACCCCCACCATCATTAAAAACTGCTATCATTTCCCCTCACCCTACTACCACATCATTAAAAATACTACCACCCTATAAAGCTATCATACCATCACCCCCCCACCAATCATTAAAATGAATCATTACCCCTCACCCCCATACCATAAACATTACTAACACCAAACCCCCATAAAAATGTATCATTACCATCACCCAATACCTCATCTTACTACACTAACACCACCATCATTAAAGATCAAAACCCTACCCCTAAAATATCTTTCAAACCCACACCACCATCATTAAATGCTTCATTACAAACACCCTACTACCATCATATTTTACTAATACAAAAATCTTAAATGATATCATTACCATCCCCCCACTACCCTCATCATACTACAACCCCCCCCCCTCATTTTAAAATGATCATACCATCCCCTACTACCATATCATTACACTACTCCACCACCATTATTAAAGGTATAATTCATCACCCCTATACCATATCATTACACTAATATCCACAAAACCACATTAAAATCATCATTAACCCTCAAACCCCTACACATATCATTTCTAATAACTACCACCATCAAAATGAATCATTACCATCACCCCATACCATCATATTACCTACTAACCCCACCATCAAAACTGTTATTACCCTCCCCTTACCATCCAATACACTAACCACCTCCTCATTTTAATGCTATCATACCATCCCCCCTAATCTCTTACTATAACCCACACCACCATCATTTTAAAAGTACATTTCCTCACCCTATACCATCATATTAAAACTACCACCAATTAAAAAATATTACCCCACCCCCCAAACCCCTCACATTATACACTACTACACCCCCATCTTAAACTGATCATTACCTCACCCCAACCATCAATTATATACCACCCCCATCACCCAAACTAAACCCAAATAAAACCCTATACCATATATTCAAAAATACTACCACCCCATCATTAAAATGACATTACAAAACACCCTTTTACCTCAATTACTATATAACACCCACTAATGATAATACACACCCCCCCCCAATTCATTTTTACCCATAAAAACCACCCTCTTTAAAGAATCATTTCATCACCCCTACCCATCATCATCTAACTACTACCACCCATATTAAAAAAGCCAATAAATTTCTACCACCACCCACCCAACATTAAATGTTCTTACCATCACCCCACTACATCTATACTATACCCACCCCCAAATTTAAACTATATAGTACCATACCCCCAAACCATCTTCATTTCTAAACCCCACCATCATCATTAAAGTATCATTACCCCAACCCACTAAACCCCAACATATACATACACACCACCCTATTAAACTGCTATCATTTCATAACCCCACCCCTATCTTATACAATACTACCACCCATATTAAAAGTATCAATACCATCACCCCAACATATTAAAAAACTCCCCCCATATTAAATGATATTACCCTCACCCTATACCCTATCATTCTACTACACTAAACCATCATTAAACGATATCTACCTCACCCAATACCAATATACTATATACCAACCCCCCATCATTAAACTGAACATACCCACCCTATACCCTATTTAAATACACTACACCCCAAACCCTAATTTTAAAATGTATCATTACCATACCCCCACTACCATTCCATTACTAATATAATATACCCCCATCATTAAACTGATATTACCTACCCCACTACCACACATTACTATAACATACCACCCTCATTAAACTGCTACAGTACCAACCCCTTCCATCATCATTTTACTTACCCCAATATTTAAATGTTCATTACCCCAAACCCCACCTATATATTTCAAAAACTAACCACCCTCATTTTAAAAGGAAAAATTACCATCACCCTACTCCATCTATTAAATATACCCACCATCATTTAAAAAGATATCAACCAACCCCCAAACCCTAATTTTCTATACCAACCACCATCATTAAATGGTACATTTTCCATCCCACTACCATCTATTTTACCTTTCACCACCACCACATTAAATGATATCATTCCTCACCCCAACCTATCATCACTAATTACAAAAATTAAATGTATTTCCCTCACCCCTATACCCTATATTTTCACTACACTACCACCACCATCATTAAACTGTTCATACCTCACCCTACTACCATCTCATTTTACTTACTACTACTACCACCATCATAAATGCTTGGGGGACACCCCCAAACCATAAACATTACCTTTCCACCAATTAAATGTATCATTCCTCACCCCCCCTTCCCCCCATCATTAACTACTTTCTTAAACCACTATTAAATGTATCATTACCATCACCCCTACTACCAATCATTACTACACTAAACACCACCACATTAAAAGAATCTTTTTCCCTCACCCCTACTACCCCTCAACCCTCTACCCCCCAACATCTTAAGGTTATTTAACCCCAAAACCAACAGACCTAGAAGACACCCCACAAAAAGGGCCCCCCCCCCCCAACCAGCAGGGGGGGGAGAGACACCCCCCAGGAAAAAGGGGGGACCGCCCGAAGACCCCCCGCGAAACCCCACAATTTTAAAACGCACATTACCATCCCCCACACCTATCTTCCCCTTTTAAACCCCAAACAAAATGGGGTAACCAACCCCTATTTTTTAATACAACCTAATCCACATCTTAAAAAGTATAAACCACACCATTTCTTTAGCATTTTCGAGCTCTACCGGGATTCAGGAGAATTTTTAAGTGCCCCAAGGGACAATTTCGCTTTAGGGTTTAGCCAGAGGACCACAAAGGGCCTTCAGTATCCAGGGGAAAAATTTACAAGGGGGGGGGGGGGGGGTGAAGGCCCAAAAAAAAAAAAAAAAAAAAAAAAAAAAAAAAGGGGGGGGGGGGGGGGGGGGGGGGGGGGGGGGGGGGGGGGGGGGGGGGGGGGGGGGGGGGGGAAAAGGTAAACCTTCCCCCCCCGGAAAATGTTTTAAGGGGCCAATGGGGAACCTTTTCAAAAAGGGGAAAGGGGGTCCCACCCGGGCCTTTTTTTTGATGTTGGGGCCCCGGAAAGGGGGGGGGGGGGAACCCCCGGGGGGCAAACCCGGGGGGGGGTGTTTTTGGCCAGGGGGGTTCCCGCCCTAGGG